ACATTTTTTATCGAGACATATGCATGTCATTTTTATCTGAATGTAAAAATAGAATGTTTCTATTTTCTATTCATACCTGTGTTTCGCACTATTCGACAAACACAGACAAGACGTGTTTTTACTCGACGACAAAAGAAAACGAATAATAGTTCAGCAATAAAAAAATGTTTTTTTTTTTTGTATTTATAAGTGAGCCGAGTGATTATAGCCTGTGAGAAGTTATATTAAAAGGCCACAGGGCCAGTCAGTTAAGATCAGGTAATCGCTTTTTCTTCATGTCTATGTGTCGTTTGGTTCAGTTAGACTATACAAAACATCACCGTTTTAAATAGCTCTTGAAGATATCGGCATATTTTGACTTCATTAAAATGTAAAATGAGCATGTGTTAGCTTTCACAAATGTTTGAAGTACACTCGATTTGTTGTGTTTAGTAACAATTTATAAGATAGATTTCTGATATGATACACTGTAGTGTTATAACTTTTGAGCGACGCCAGTACCGGTCCTCCTATAGGACTGTATCACTGTGGTTTATGTAAAGGATAGACTGGTCCCGTCTCTAGAGTATTGAATTATTATTTCGAAGAAGTTAACTCTGATAATTTTGATCACTTGAATGTCTGATTCTAATGTCTTTACTAGGGGGAGATAAGCCAGTAGTAAAATGCAACTGAGGAATTCTTAGGCACTGATAGCTTTGTAGAGGAATGTCGATTCGTTTCTTGATAAAATTGAGTACGAGATGCACCAGGTATATAGCAAAATTCCAAAGTGAACTATCATTGATGTCAAATGTTTCATTTTCTAAATATTCGTGACGTTACCCCATTTTGATGAGCCTCACACCACTTGAGATACAGCAAGTGTGTCCCGTGTACACAAACCTGATGAACTCCCGATGATCAAAATAGGAAAAACAAGTGTTCCAAACTTATTAAAAATGTTTATCGATGATAATATCTGACGTACAACGATAACAAACGATTGATCATTTTTTATAAACTACTACTGACGTTTTTGAGGTAGACGCTATATTTGTTTAACCCGTTTGACCCGCCAGACATTTACACCTGTCCGGAGTCGTTATACATATAAACACGGATACTACCTGTACGATATACATTATTGATCAAACAGCCCTAACAGGATCGGTTTTCTGTTGACATCCTTACAGAATTCGAAATGACTTTCAAGATTTCCTTTGTATATGGAAAATACATGACATGTTTTGACAGAGGGCCATAAACGGTCCCATACCTGGGTTAGTTGACTTGGGCCGACCTTTATTGACAATTTTAGAATTGATTGGGTATCGATCTCCAGATCAATAAACAGAGACCTAGAGGTGTCGCTATATATTGCCGTCACGTACCGAGGTAACTTGATGATAGAACATACGTATTCTTTAACCTCAACACATGTCCGGCTTCGTCCATTAATGTCTGTTCGTCACGCTGAAACGCAGTATAGGCAATGATGCGGTGAACGTTTCTTGTTCAGATCAATTTCAAAATACCATGGACCGTACAATACACTTTAGGTTATATTATATGCAAGGTATGCTGCCTTAAAAATGTATGTACTATTTTTACACAAGAGAATCTTGTAGGAGATCTTTCGTGAGTGAAGGTAAGGGATACATTGCTCTGGTAGAAAGGTACATGTGGATGTATACTCGGTAAATAATCCAGAATGATTTCCCCCTTTTTCTTCTCGCTCTCTCCACTGTCTGCTACGGTCCCTCCCTTATTCCTCCTGTCACTTTCCATTGGCCCACACCCTCTCTTCCCCAACTCTTCCCCTTTCCGTCTGCCCCTCTCTCCCCCAAATCTTCCCTCCCTTTTCCCTTCCCTCTCCCCTCCAGCCAACACTTCTCCTCCTTCTTCCCTCCCGTCTGCACCTCCCTCTCTCTCTCAACTCTTCCCTCTCTTTTCCCTCCCTCTCTCCCACCAACACTTCTCCCCCTTCTTCCCTGCCGTCTGCCCCTCCCTCTCTCTCTCAACTCTTCCCTCTCTTTTCCCTCCCTCTCTCCCACCAACACTTCTCCTCCTTCTTCCCTTCCGTCTGC